AGAAGTATTAAGTTTATTATAATGGAATAATATATAAAACAATTTTTTTTTATCATGTTTTAAAAAATAATTAAGAATTGGTACTTGATGGGTACCTTTATCTAATTAAATTTTTATGATTTGAGCATGCTAATCAACAATACTAACCTACTTATTAAAAAATGAAATTTGTATTAAGATAAAGGTATTACTATTGCATCAAGGGCATAATATTCAATGTATGGACATAACACACTATAATACATTTTGCATTGGAACAAATCAAATGTTAATCTGCAACAAGCTACCAACAGAATTTAAAAGAGACTTGAGATTTCAACCTAATTACAGTTGACAAAGGTCGGGATCCTAAAATGATGATCTAACTTTTTGATTGGAAAGTGGGCAGTCAGCGGAGGGTATGGCCGTATGGAATATCATATTTTATCAGCAGGTATATGATCAATATAAAAAAAAAATAGGTAGATATTGTCGGTCATTTTTTTATCGCGTCACACCTGAAAAAAATATGAAACATTTGACTACTCGACCGCGTAGAATCCGATGTGTGCGAATTATTTGTCACACATCGACGGTCAGTGTCAAAAGACATAAACACGTGATGAGTGTTGGTTGTTCCGGACGTTCCGTTGGAAACCACCCCGCCATCATTGCCGTTGGCCGTTGGCAGCCACCAGGTGAACAAACGGTGTCAGATGAGTGGGGGAGGGGGTAGGGAGAAAAAACATGACAAACGCATGGCGCCATGGCCACGTAAAACACGAACATAATACCTATTTCAACTACAGAGACCTGACCCCTCCTCGGCGCCCCCTCCACAAAAAACTGTTATGCTGGACAGTGGAAAATCAGGAAAAAACCGTTTCCTAGATATTTGCCAACGATAAAAAAAAAACCACACGTGGCATCGGTATGGGGCGGTTTCGACGGGTTGGGGGAGGGGGGGGGGAAATTCGGAGAAAACAAAATTCCTCGGGACGGTTTTGAGAAATCGGTCGCGAACCGATCGCGGCCACGTACGACGTTTAGAGAAAATATACAATAAAAAAAGCTCACCGTCCGCCATGTTTTGAAAGTTGACGTAGGCGTATCCCAGCGATCTTCTGGTGATCATGTCGCGACACACGCGGATCGACAGGACAGCACCGACCGTGCTGAATTTCTCAAACAGCATAGCTTCGGTCACGTCCGAATGCAGGTCTCCAACGTACAGCGAAGCCATCTCGTTGTTTCGGTTGCTGCGTCAAATTTAGCGTCGATGAAGTGAAAATAATAACTACGGCAAAACGCGCGCGATATACTTCTTCTTTCGGATTTTGCGCGTAGACAAAATAATTATAATTTTTTTTATTTTTTATGTAATTTTTCCTTTTTTTTTTAGTTAATTTAGTTTATTTTATAATTTTTTTGGGGTTTTTTAATTTATTTGAATTAAAAAACTACACTATTCCTCATGGGTTGTGTTTCGTAGACACGTACGACACAACCTCATGTATTGAAAAGAAAAATTGGAGAAAAAAACGAACGCACTGAGCTACCACTACGAGATGACGCGTAGGTCTCCCGTCGACGACCCCCTCCACACAGAAGGGTGAAGTTGTACGCATGCGTATTGATTCTGCGACCAACAAACGTACCTTCGACCAAGGTTGCGGTTGTCAGGTGTGCCTCTTCCGACCGACAAAAAATATCATTCGAAATTCGAATTTTATTCCCACCAAAACCCCGTACAGCTTTTTGTCATTATGACAAATTTAGTTTGATATTAATTATTGTTATGCCATCGCAATGGAAATAATTGAAGATATAAACATAAATTGTATTTCAATTTATATTAATCTGGTGAAAAATAAAATAGTTTATACATCGTGTTTTATGTGTAAAATACACAATTAATGTAAACCAAATATCATTATAAAAATCAATATAATCACTATACACTAGTATAATAATGATTATCATCTAGAATTTCATATTATCGTAACAAAATGTAAAAAATTTAATTTTAACCTTATTTAAGGTAATAAGGTTTATATACATTATTTTATCTTAATTAGTGTTATAACATAACGGTGCTAATGACTATAAATTATAATAGAATAATCTAAAGTAATAAAGTATAGACTATAGAGCTAAATTAATGCTCTCGCCTCTCAAACAACCTTATACAAAAAATAATGATCTTAATGCAAACATTTAAATGCTTGAGGAGAGATTTATATTTCTCGTTCCATCAACCAATAATAAGATTAGTATCAAACTCAAAATATTTCAGTTCCCTTAAACAAATTAATAAATAAAAGCCGAAGGATGGAAAACGTTTTTAAGCTAAAAAATTTTCTTTCTGTTATTATTTTCGTTTAAAATTGTTGATAATTTCGTTTCTCTTAAATTCTTACAATACAATCCTTAAATACAATAAAAAAACCATATTTAAATGAACTAACAAATCAAAAATTTAAAAATACAGAAAGTGGGTGTCGCTGTAGCTGTAGAGTAAGTTACAAGTGGATCTGTAATGGATTGTATAAATTTGAATTCAATGATTTAATATCATTGTATAAGAAAAACTATTCTGAGCGAAGACAGTCAGTGTAATAATATCACTTAGTATATATTTTGATGATATTATTGTGAATAAAATAATTTATACATAACCTATTTACATGGTATGTTGTTTTAAATTTTCACATTAAAGTTGAACATTTTATAAAATTTTAACAACAAAATAATTATTATATTTTAAATTTGATAAATGTTGTCAAATATCGAACTTTAAATGATTATAAAAAAAAAAATTGTAAAATGTATTTTTAATATTTTTAAACTGCTTTTGAAAAATATATCAGGAGCCTTGTGTTAAATGATTTCTGGCCAACAAATAAAATGTATTAATATTTGTAGCAAAAAAAACTACAAAATCGAAATTTGAAATTGTCCGTTAATAGCTCAAAACGAGTCAAAATGTTATGGTGTATAGATAATGAGAATATTTACATTCAGTCATATTTGCATGTATCTACAGTCTACAGTTATTCATTTTTTAATTACGACAAAATAAGAAAATAGCTACTTGAAAAATCGAGTGAACATCCAATGTTGTAAAAATATGAACTTCCACAATTCAGAAAAATGTAATTTGACTTTCTTGTAGACATTTTTTTTTGATAAAGGTAGAGAAACTTATGAGGAATATCGTATTCCATTTTAAAATCTTAGATTTCAAAAGAAAATTTCTTTGAATTTCGAACTCAAAATAATTTACACATATTTGTAATTTTTACGTATTTTGTCAAGATTTGAACTTTAAATGCTTATAAATAAAAACTGTGACTAAGGATTTTTAATATTTTTCAAATTTCATTGTAACAATATAGTAGGAGCCTTGTATTATATTTTCAGGCTTTTTACCCAACAAATAAAGTTTTATTGACATTCATAGAAAAAAACACTAATAAAATTGGAAACAGAAAATGTTCCTAAACAGTTCAAAACAAATCAAAATATTTTATTCGTGTACTTATAGAAAATGCAAATATAAACGAAAAGTGACAATTTTATGTATATACATTTATTTGTTTTAGAGTTACTCCAAAAACCAAAATCGATTTTGTGGAAAACCGATTTTGCGTAAAAATTCCCGTTTTTCCTTAATTGTTATGTTGTTTTTCCCGGCTCTTTTGAAAACACTTGGAAATTTTCAATTCTCAATGCACCAACAATATTCAATTTCACTTCAAACAAGATACTGAAGTTAAAATCGAACCATTATTTCGGCAACATATTGTGTAAACACACACGCACACAAAAAAAACACATCATTGTAAAATCAATACATTCATTGTGCTTCTCCGAATCTAAATGTAACATTAAAGTATTACATTTAATTCTAGCTGTTTGATTGATTTTGTTTTTATATAGCTTTTTTCAGTATTAAGCATTCTTTGTTATCGTTTTACTGTATTTGTTGTTTGTATAAATTTTTCATCAATAAATTAAAAACAAAATTTTTCACTAACTATTTAGAATGATGAGAGTATTTTAAAATTTTAGAAGATTTTTTAGGTGGTTAATATTTACTTCAAGTTTGTAATAGAAAAATAAATAATTGGTTCAGTTTTACACGTAAATTAACAATGGAATTATGAAACATAATGGTTTTTAAAAAAGTTTACAAGTGGATTTTGCTCTGCTGTACAGTAGGTTACAAGTGGATCAATGTATAATGGATTGTATTTAACTTGAATTTAATGATATAATATCATTGTATAAGAAAAAGATTCTGAGCGGAGACGGTCAGTCTGGATATTTTTTATATTGTTATTATTTATTTATATAACATGTAAGTTGAATTAATATTAAACTATTATTTTTTTTTATTCGTTTCTATGTTGATATACAAAGCGTTAGAAATTAAAATCCAATTTTTAGCGGTTTTTTTGTAATTTGTCAGTAATTTTTTCCGTGGCATTAAATAACTATAAAAAAAATCGAAAAATAACCTCCCTAAAGTACCATCTTGATCCAATTTGCTAAAAGATAAGGTACTATATATTGAAACCAAAGCACTCTTTCTGGTAGATATTTTGTATACAGGATAAAAAAATAAACACCATTGTAAAACCACTAGCTTCCTCGCTCCGCTCAGAATCTAAAAGTAATAGTAATAATATTATAATTCATACATAACATTTGTTTACTTTAACACTTTATTATATTTAATAATTTAATTTGTCACCAACATATCAACAATAAACAGTTACCGCCCCCCAAGTTCCACCTAGGAGTGCCCACCCTGTTCTTCACATAAATACAAACTTGTATCATAGAGTTTATTGTATACAAAATAATGGATCTGTAATAAAAGAATATTGAATGCAATTAAATAATAAAACTAATGATTTGTCAAATAATTTTGTTTTTATTCAATACAAAATATAATTACATAACATTTCATTTTTTTTTTACCTTGTTTAAAACATTTGTTATTAAAATAACAATTATAATTGTTTTGACATATAAGGTCCATCCAAGTGGTATCCAAGTTTTTTATAATAGTTTCTAGTACCAACACCTAAAAAAAAAGGGATATATAATAATTAATGGGTATTTGTTAACAATGTATACAGAATATAGATAAGTAGGAGTATAACAAAGACAATTGTGTATTATTTTGGGGGAAGTAATTGAGAAATTGATGGGACATGGCATGAGATGAAGATGGGGGATGATGCAGCATTGCAGCGAATAGGTTCAAGTACTTAGGATTGGTGGTACAAAGAATGGAGGTTTTAAGGATGGCGATCAAGAAGAAAGCACAATGTGTGGAAGGATGAAGTAGAGAGAAGCGTTATGTATTTTGTGGTAACATACCAAATTAACGCTCAGAAATTCAAGTTTTACACGGATAGCTTAAAAATTAGAGTGAATCAACCTATTATGAAACTTGATGGTAAGAAAATTATCTGTGTTTGGTAGGAAGTTTTTTACAATAATTCAGTTATTAAGTGAGTTATGAGCATTTCTAATTTACATTTTTTATACACGCTATAACTCACTTAAAAACTGAATTATGGTAAAAAAATTCCAATAAAACACAGATAATGTTCTTACAATCAAGTTTCATAATAGGTCGATTCACTCTAATTTTTAAGCTAACAACATAAAACTTGTATTTCTGAGGGTAAATTTGGTATGTTACTCGTTTGTAAGACGGAGACAACACATGCAGGGGTGGCGTCCTCTTAAGCGCATTACATATTACACAAATAATAGCTTGTATTTGATGTAAATTTGACCACTAACATTGATTATAACGACCAGTATCAATGTTTCTATTCATTATCATTTTAAATATAAACAAACCTGAAATAACAGCTATTTTGGTAGACTTGTGTTCCTCTAAAGATATTCTTTCAGCTTCTTCCATTAATAGCATACCAAATCCTTGATGCTGAAATTTGGTTGGATCTCTGGATCGAACAGGAACTACACTACCGTACACATGTAATTCTCGTATGATTGAAACTCTTCCTTTTAACTCGGGTCTATAAATAATGTATGTACAATAAAATAATTTATAAAGTTCCCAAAAATTGAAAAATGAAATAAAATAAAATTCAAATATATTTATACCTAAACGAATCTGTACACTTGCGCAATCTTAATAAACCGATTAAAATGTCTTGTTCAGGGTCTTCGTATGATAAAAATGTTTCCCACCCATTATTTGCAACATAATCTCTGCGTATCAATTCAATCTAAAATATGATTAATAATAAAAATAAAATTACAAAAAATATACCAACCACATACTATTAAGTATTAAAAATGTATTATGAAGAATAATTAAGAACAGTAAAAAAATAATTAATCATTTACTAAACATATCATTTTTAAGTACTATCATAATTTTCATGTAATAAATTATATTATAATATACTTCAAATGGGCGAATTTTATTATGTATTTCTTGAATTCCAACTTCCCTAGTTCGAACATCACGACATTGTAAGTTAAGATCTTTCATTCTTGCTAAGGCCAGTTCTCGTAAATTCCCATGTTCAACTCCAGAACTATGAAAATAAAATATAAATTATTTATATGACAAATAAAAAAAATTTTAGTTAGATTTTTTGTATACATACGTAACTAATGGCATTGGAATATCTCTTTGAACTCTATACACACGCGTCCACGGAGGAATAAGACTTAATATGTGGGCAATTAAATCTACTAATTCGGATGGTGAATAACTCCGGTATCGTCCACTACGCCACAGCTCATATAAACCAGTGCCTCTCATTACAAGAGTAGGGTAAATTTTTAAACCATCAACTCGAAAAGCTGGATTTTCAAAAAATTCCTGAACAGTAATAAATATAGATAAAATAAAACAATCAGGTAAATAATATATTTTAACTTATTTATATTTTTAATTTATACCTTGAACTGTTGAAGGTCTCTTTCTAGATCTACATTAGGTAAATCAGGCATCATATGTGATACAATTTTAAAACCACAATCTTTAGCAAGAGTAAATGTTTCACACACTGCTTTAACTGTATGACCTCTGTTAGTGTCTCGTGCAACATCTTCAAACACAGATTGAACACCAATCTCTAATCGTGTACAACCATAGTTTAACATGTCAGTCAAATGTCTATTCAAACAATAATCTGGTCGAGTTTCAATTGTAATGCCAATACATTTTACATTACTTCTTTCCGAGTATCTAAGTAAAAACAATAAATTAACATAAAACATTTGTCCAAAATAAAAATGTATTATAGTTTAATACATACTTGACAGCTTCTCGAACATTAGAGCTGGTATGACCCGATAAAGCATCATGCAAGTTCCTGATGAAATAATCCCGGTAGTCTTCGGGTAAACTCATGAATGTACCTCCCATTACTATGAACTCAACCTTATCAACATTATGGCCTAATTGTTTAAGCTATAAACATACAATAAATAATTTACCATAATTATAATTTTTAAGTATTAAAATTTAGTATAAATCTTAAAAAAGTACAATTAATGGTAAAAACACTGTTTATAATTATTTTATGGTTAAATTTTAAAATCTATAAAACACATGATATTAGATACTCATTGTAATATACATTTTTGTTTGTAAAAAAAAAATCTTTTTAAAATTTAAAAAAAAATACAAAAATACATTTTTGATTACTTGTTTGTTATTACCCTGTCACACTCCTATCACAGCAACGTATAAAATTTATCACTCTGCCACCAGGTTGAACATTTGTTATACTATATTATTTATAATATAATTAATTTATATATATATTTATTAATAATAATAATAATAATATGTATACATTTAACAGTAGTATAGTTACTAATTTTATTAATATCTCATAATTACACATAAAATAATAAGACGGTTTTATAAATGTCCCTAAATGTGAGCCATTGTATTTTTTTTAATGATATATTTTTATTGTAAAAATTGAATGCAAATATTCCTTTTTTAGAAAAATAACTCATTAAAATACTTTTTTAACAATATTTTATAATTAGCTAATAACGCTTGTAAGATAAGTACCCACTACCCACTTTAAATTATACAGGACTACAATGTAACGACAAATTGACAACATACTAACAAGGTTAAAATATAATAAAGAGATAAATAGTATTTACCTTTTTTCCATAAATTGATTACATACTAGACTAACCTAAATGCAAGATGGGTACTATAGAAATATCAAAACTTTAGATTTTTGATTACGCAAAGACAGATGAAGTAAGGTTGCCTGGTGGTGGGTTGATAAATTGTAAATTATGGTCCAGTGGCAGGGCAACAACAAACAAGTACCCATTTTTGAAACAATTCTTCTTAACAGTGTGTTTAAAATTTTTAACTTCATAATTATAGAATACGAATAGCCGTAGAATTCTTTTCTAATAATGTAGATGCATAAATATTTAATATTGAAAAAATAAGTAGTTTTTGTATTATACAACTAAAGTTTAGATGAGCTGGAAAATACATTTTTTGGAGTTACCCTTTTTCATTTCATTGATCTTATCCGAACGCTTATGTCATAAATAAAAAATGTATTTGTTCAATAAAAAAATTAATTAAATTCTAGTTCTGAGTGTAAAAAATTGTAATAAATGTAGTGTTTTGTTTATTTCTATTTATAAACAATATTTTTTTAAAAAAACAACAATTACTTAGAATAATGATTTGCATTCATCACAAAATGTATATAGCACACTACGATTAAATTAATAAAATTTCATAACATATAGGTACCTGTTCAACTCTATGGCGGGTTTGAACATATGGATTATAATGTGCTCGAATAGCTCTCATTGAAGTAGGTTCGTAACCAGTATATGACTGTGTAGAATATTCAAAATCGGAATCTGGACCACCAGGACAGTATACACATATATTTCCAGTCATATTTATGTGAGGACAACGATGTGGCTTACACATAACTGCAACAATTGCTACCTACATAATTGTAAATTAACAAAATATATGAGTATAAATAGAAAGTATTTATTTAAATTCAGGTAATTAATAATTATATTTTCACACTCACTCCACTAGCTGTTCTAACAGGTTTTGCTTTTAACTTTGGATACAATAATTTTTTGGCATCATTGGGAACAGCTGAAATAATATCAACGAGTCGAGGAGATGATTTCAGTCCATATTTTGATGATATTTGAGATTTTAACTTATTTAAGTTTACATCTCTGTTTTCCTTTTGCGCAATCAACAATTTCTGAATAATTTCAGCAACTGTGGAAACCATTCGTTCTTCATGGCTTAATTTGGATATGTTTTCTACAACAATTTTAAAAATTAAATAAAATTGAACATTCTTAAAAATACATAAATAGATTTTTAATTTACACTTAACTTTATATTATTTAGCGTTTAAACACTTTGATTTACCCAACTTAGCAACTTAAACAAATTATTATGTATTTTAAATTAATATCAAGGCAATCTAGAAGATAACCGTGATTAATATGAAGGCAATTGATGAATTGAATAAAAATGTGCAATAAAATTAGTCAAAAAACCATTAAAATACCAACTATTTTAAAGTATATATATTATTGATAGTATGAAACTATGAAAGTAAGCATAATATTATATTATTATATGCTCAAGTAGCTACTTATATATTTAAGTATTTAAGTTTTTTACTCACCGTCTACTTCAGACATGTTGAAATACTGTAGTAAATCGTAAACTCATAACCCAATACTCTATAATATAGAGTCTATATTATTATAATAAAGAGTACTAATTTAATCACTGTCGACTGTCGTAACCCGTGAACGTGAAGTCGTGACCACGATTTAAGATACTCTGATACTATCTAGTATCTTTTATTCTTATCTTATAAATTATAATATACTATCAACCAAACTCCGCTTCTGATAACGTCCCGAAATGAGCCGCACGATTAAACGGCCACAGGTTGCGCTGCGTACGCTAGAGGTGCTACTTTTACTCGTGCAGTCGTGCAGTATTAAATTGTACAGCTTGTATGATTACGCATTTATGAGTGCATAACATGTCGCCATGTCGGATATATTGTGTATATTTCATAAACATTCAACATTCTTAAGAATCAAATTTGAGCGTAAGTGTGTAACGACATCAAAACATGTGATATAGGTATAAAACGATCGTTCAAGAAAACACAAGTGTATATTAGTATAATAGTACCATAATAGTGTACCTATGGTGTTTCGAATATTATTGTGATCAGACTTGCTGTGAAAGTAGGTATGAACACAGATATACATATAGGTATCTAAAGCACTAGAGCGGCTTAATTTAAATAATTTTTCATTTACACAATATTTTGGTATAACCACTTGTGGTTTGGCCGCGTATATGTGTATGGTAACCGGTGATTGAACGATTGAACCACTCCCTGTGCAACCTCTGTCAACTATTTTAGATTCTGTAATTTATAATCCAAATTTATTTTATTGGTTGCATGGACGACAGGGTGTGCCGAGTAAAAATAGCCCCCCCCCCCCTAAATCCACGCCAGCTGACAGAAGATCAGTATTCACTTGCCTACCTTTTGAATGTTTATATTTAATGTTTATACATAAAAATATAAAATATAGATAGCCTTTAATTCTTTTGGTTTGTTGTAGAATATTCAAATATCTAAGACAATTCAACATTCAGACCTTCGGAATATCGATTAAAAATTTAATAGAAAATCAAAGATGCAATATAGTTCAAATTCTATCCATCCAAGAAATCATAAGGGATATGTTAATTTTTTAGTTTGTTATTATGGAACATCATAGAAATAGGTAGGTACTCAAAGTCTCAAACGCAAGACTTATTAACTACATATAATTAATAGTAATTTATTATTGTTCTTTATATTCTCGTTTTTATTCGAACATTTTTGAACCCGCTTACCTTCCGAACAATTCTAAAATAGAAAATATCGACTTAATGTCAAATTTCGCTAACGTGTGATAATGTTTTCACTTTTCTTCTGACGATAGTGGAGGGTCAGAGGAAAGTTTGGAACTGCGAACGTTTTCATTTGTGTAACGTACGTGGTCGGTTGACTGTTTGATGTTTGTAGTTTTATGTTATTCAATTATTGTGAATATTCAATATATACATAAACCACCAAATGTTGACAGTTTATGCAGGGGGATTATTTAAGCATGCTCATTGCTCACTCCAGTGGCGGCTAGTGGTGTTAAAAATAGGTAGTGCCGAGAGTAATATATATTTTTTAATCTTTTCTAACATCATATCCGCATAAAGCCAATTATATTTAGAATAATATTCATTATGGTAAAATGACGAGTTTATTGCCACGATTTTATTGTAACTTTTATGAAATTTAAATCATCCACAGGTCTTCCCAATATTTTTATTTTTATTTTTCCTCATTTTTATAAAGGGAAAATTAATATTTTCAAAAGACTTTCTATGCAGAATTAATTTTTAAAGAAAAAATGACCGAGTTAATTCTAAGGGGAAAGAATTTACTATGACCGGTAAAATGTGTATATACATCTATTATGGAATAATACCGTCATACCGATCATTCGATAAAGAAATCAGAACACAAATAGAAAATCTCAAAGTCTCAAGTTAACCGAGTTGTGTTGTATTTCGCGATCCAATCTTCAACCACAGTGGTGTAGTTAAGGGTGCACGCGGGTTCGCGGCGTGTACCCACCTCCTAATTTTATATTTATGGGTGTAACCTTAACGAAAATTGTGGTACGCAGGTTAGGCGTGGCCCCCAAGTTATTTCTTACAATGATTAAGGCTTGTACCCATAAACTTTTTTAGGACTTATCATCACTCACTGGTCAACCATTCATCATATTATATTTTATACCGCAAGCGGTGCTGTCACGGGTGGTTCCATTTTCCTCCAAAAACGAGATACCGTTTTCCTCCACAAAAAAAAAAGGTTGGTTTCCATTTTCCTCCACATTATTTTCGACTAAAGTTATGTCTATTTTCCTCCAATATTTTAGCAAATATTTTTCTTGTAGTATTACGTTCCGTTTTATAAAGATAGAGTAAAGCTAGGATCACATTTTACGCTTATCGGTTGATAATTACACTCTGGTATCTATATCAGCTATCGATTAAGCCTAATAAAAATACGAACATATTCCATACGGGCATATACTTATATACTTATATATGTTATATTGTGTATCAGTTGTCACTTATTATTATGATTACACACATTGAGTGAGACAGACACACGAATGTATACGATATACTCGCATCAATATGACCATATTTTTAGTAGCGAACTGTACGTCCACTATAGTAAGGCCAGCGAAAAATGAGCCACGATTGTAGCGCCCCAAGTGGCGTCTTTTCGGTAAGGCTATAGTTTTTAGATAGCCCTACTGAAAAAAGCCACTTGGGGCCACGGACTAAGGGCCGATTTCACCAACACAGTTAATCACGATTAACGTTAACCGGAGTTTTAATCAGCCGAATTTGGCCGGTTAAATATCTGTTATCAGCCGATTCTGGTGGCTCATTTTTCGCTGGCCTTACTATAGTCACTAGTGTCTATAGTGTTGGATGTCTTTATACTTTATAGTTCTTGTGTTACACATTACATTTTGTTTTAATTTAAACATGTCTGAAAAAGCCACGTTTATTGAAAGTTCTCGTGGAAAACGTTTGTTAATTCGTGATGGTTACAAATATTTTTTAGCATATGATTTAAAATCTGGATTATCACGTTGGCGATGTTATAAATGGACGAATAGTGAATAACTCATGTAAACGAAAAGCAATTGACGATTTATTCTCAAGACCAAAAAAAGTAATACTCAAGGAATTAGGACAAAGTTCTGCAGACTGTTCAAATTTTGATAATACCGATATTCATAAAATTAGGAAAAATATTTTATCTTAGCTGCCGAACCTGCCAAAAAATATTGAAGAGGTATACATTTAGCAATCAATAATATGGACATTAAGACTACTTCCCAAGGACAATTTTTGCTTGTTAATGATGATGGTAAAAATGTGTTAATATTTTCTTGTTACCAAAACTTAAAATTTTTATGTGAATCTGAAATTATTTATTGCGATGGTACAGTGCCAAACATTTTAACCAAATGTTTACAATACATGGCTTTAAAAACGGACATTATATACCAGTTGTGTTTTGTCTTCTAGACTCTAGTTAATAAATCCACTGACACATAATATGTAACATATTACCTATGTTAATACATTTAACTAATAACTATATTTTACTTGAATGTATTGAATTAAAATTGACAATAAACCCAAAATCAATCACAATTGATTTTGAGAAAACTATTCATGATGCTATTTCTATAGTATGGCCTAATACACTAATAGTTGGTTGTAGGTTTCACCTGGCGGCTGGCGCAATCATGGTTTCGAAAAATTCAAAGTCTTGGTTTAGTTCAAGAGTATAAAGAAAAAAATTCTGAAATTGGTTCTTGGATTAGAAATACGTTTGGGCTCACATTTTTAACTCCACAAGAAGTTTCTTAGTGTTTTATTGAAGATTTTATGAGCATTATACCTAACGATAATAGAGTGAATCATTGTGCTGACTATTTAACAGACACGTGCATTTCAGAAAATGCTACATTTCCACCACTTATTTGGGCAGAACCATCATATTCGTTATTACGAACTACCAATTCATGTGAGTCATTCCATTCGCATTTTAAAGACAATTTTTATAAAGAAAAACCAAACATTTTTATGTGGCTCAATATTGTGAAACAAATTCATACTGATATTTATTGTAAAATAAGAAGCATTCATACTCCGAAAAAATCAAAAGACTACCGAGCAAACAAACGTTGTGGAACAATCGACAATACAATTATTAAATTGCAAAACGGAGATATTTCTAGGTATGTAATTACAAAAAGTATAATAATTATTCATATTATGTCTATTTTTTTTCTAACAGGTATTCATTTGTTGCTGAAATGTCCTATAATTATAAAAAAAATATAATAATATATTCAATTTATTTTTTTTTGCCATGTATAAATTATTTATAGGTATTAACTATTTTATTATTTTATTTATACCACCACTGGTGGTGGGTGCACTCTTACGTGCAGCTTTGGTGGCCAACTGCTTGCTGGGTGCTTTTCCTCTGGTAGGTTAGGCTGTGTACAAGCCATATTGTGTATTATATGTTGAAATAGAAATGATTTTGAATCGCCCGGCTTATCTGTTGACGAAATTGGTACACAATGAATTTAAAATAAACTTATTTAGACGGTTTTTGGAGGGTGAGCAGACGTCTCATTGGACCGAGGGGTGTGGCCTCGTACACCCTTCGGTACAGGGTCTGTGGGATCGACAACATAAATACCGCGTCACCGATCGATAAGTTATCATTCATCTCAATTCTCAACAAGTCTCGACTTTATCACAAGTAATATTTTCAGCAATAAGGTATCATGACCGGATGCGGCAAAGGCGGAAAAGGTCTGTGAAAAGGAGGTGCCAAACGGCATCGCAAAGTTCTCCGGGACAACATCCAGGGCATCACTAAGCCTGCCATCCGTCGTTTGGCTCGCCTAGGAGTGAAACGAATTGCCGGATTGATCTACGAAGAGTGTTGAAGGTTTTTCTGGAAGAATGGAAAATTTGACCCGTGACTCCATCACCTATACCGAACACGCCAAGA